TCCACTCTCTATTATTCTTTTCTAACATAGGTCTCCACTCCCTACTTGATTTTATTTTAGATATAGGGTCTCCACTCCCTAGTTGATTTTATTTTAAACATAGGGTCTCCTCTCCCTAGTCTTCTTTTTCAATATAGGGTCTCCAGTCCCTAGTTGATGTTATTTTAGACATAGGGTCTCCACTCCCTGGTCTTCTTTTCCAACATAGGGTCTCCACTCCCTAGTTAATTTTATTTTAGACATAGGGTCTCTATTCCCTAGTCTTCTTTTCCAACATAGGGTCTCCACTCCCTAGCTGATGTTATTTTAGACATAGGATCTCCAATCCTTAGTCATCTTTTCCAACATAGGGTCTCTCCACTCCTAGTTGACGTTATTTTTAGACATAGGGTCACTACTCCCTAGTCTCCTTACTAGTTTAGGGTACACCAATTCCTAACTGTGTTTTTCAACATAGGGTACAACACTCCCTAGTTGATTTGATCTTAAGTGCAGGGTACACCACTCCCTGATATCTTTGGTAATATAGGGTACATCATTTCCTCACCATATTTTCCCAACATAAGGTACACCAATCCTTGGTTGAGATACCATTTAGACAATCAGGGTACACCTTCCCAAAGAATCATGTTTTTCCAGGGTACACCAGTCCCGACCTTTTATTACTTTCAATTATTAAGTATTATAGAGTTTTGTTACAAATAACTTACGAAATTTTTCTAGTGAAAACTGGGGCAGAAAAATTTCATTCACTTGTTTGTTTTGGTGTCCGAGCAGGTTTTACCTCGAGGCACGGGATTCGAGAAGATCAAAAGAAGAAGTCTCAATCCAAAATAAAGAAAAGAAAAGAAAAAGAAGTGAATCCAAAATGCAAAAACGGATGAAAGGATATGGACTGCTCAAGACATGACTGAAGTCACGAGCATTGCATTTCCCTTTTTTATCAGAAAAAGCCATAAAAGAATGAACTAGCACTTGCAGCTAGCAAGCATCAAAATTCAGATCAGAGTCTGCATGAAGAACCAGTCAAGACTCAAGATCAAGCTTCAAAAGACTTATAGATAGGAATCTTGTAACTCATAACTGATAGACTTGTTTAGTTTCTTTTGATTTGGATTTTGGTGTAATAAGGAGTTCAACAAGCAATACAACATCAACAGTAGTGAAATCACAGCTTTTCGGTAGTCCTAGCTACCAAAACTTCCAGAACTATACTGTCCTGATTCCTTTATAGTGAGGATATACAGGCAAACTCTGAAGCAAGGTTCAGTCAAACTCTTTAAAAAATGCTCCCCATGGAGTATTCAAATGGGCAAAAATTGCTCACTTTATCTTTGCCAGAAAACTCTTCATGTTCTCAAAGATGGGCAGCTGTGAGCACGTAATTTTTGCCCATATATGAAATTACTCCTAAAAAATATTCAAAATAATTTTTATTGATCTTGTAGAATTTTAGGAATTTTATTTGTGTGCTTGATTGCATTTATTTTATTAATAGATCATTTGCCACATTAAGAATATTTTAAAACCATCAATAAATATTTTATTATTTACCTTTGCATTTTTAGATTTTTATTCATAGTTTTAAGGGCATAATTACATAAATACCTGATTAAAATACAAAATACTTTAGCTTGTTTTGCATGTTAGGTTCAAATTAATTAATTGAGTTGGTCAATCCACAAATTAATTAGTTGTTAGATAATTCATGTAATAGGTTAATTGTGCAATTCCAGTTCTTAATATTATATTAGTTAATTAGTGGCTAAAATGGAAATAAGAAAAGAGAAAGGAGAAGGTTTGATTGAGCTCAAAACCGGAACTGGGAAAACACTGAGGCCCAGTCTTTGCCAAATCCGCCCCAACTCATTCCCCTGTCTACCCGAACCGCCTAACTCATCTTCAAACGACGCCGTTCAGCCCAGGAACGACGTCGTTGCCCCTTGCCCTCACATACTAAAACAGCCCATCTCCCAATCCCCTATGATTAACAGACCCCCTCCCTCAAAAGAAAAACCCTAGCCGCCTCATCTCTCACCTCTATTCATTCTCCTCTGCTCACACACACAAATTTCCCCAGACCCTTTTCACACAGGATTTTGAACTCTCTTTCACACGCACACACGCATAACTTACAGTCCAAATAGCCAAAACAAAAGTTTTTGAATTGAAATTGAAGCTCAGATCTGAAATAGGAAAAATATCAAAAACCAAAGAGAGAAAATAAGAGGAAACAACATAAAAGAGGAATTTCTGTAGCAGTGAAATTGCAGTTTATTTGCTCTCATCTTCTTGGTTTTAAGAGGTGTAAATCCTCGCGGTTTACTGCTGATTATTGGCTGGGATTGTTATCTGAGCTCCGGCCCATTCCCTTCCCCCACTGTTCTGTTGAAGTCAGTCATTTTTTTTGGCCATCAAGGTACTATTTTCTCCAATATAGATATGCTATTTTAAATGAGATTTAATAGTTTATTATTTAAAGTTCATATCAAGCTTTCCCGTGTTTAAACTTTTTCAAAATTTAGATTCTCACTGTGATTTTTCCTATACAGTCTATGATTCTTCTCTGGCTTATCTGTAAACATTGATATTTGTTTGCTCAAATTGCTTTTGTTGTTACTGTAGTTGACTCGTGTGGTTTGAAGTGTATAGAGTTGACTTTAAAGTGGTCAGATCTAATGTGCCAAATTACAAGGTTGCTGAATTATTTGATGGAATTAAACCTCCATTGCTCATTTCGTTTTAAAACTAGTATGCATTAGATCAAATAATGGAATTCGGAGCATGGGACTTCAAAGTTAGTTATTATTGATTGATATAGTGGTTGTATATGTGGCTTATCTTGTTTTTGGTTAATACATGAGATTTTGTTTTATATAGTCATGGTAGTCTTTATGCTTATATGAATATCATGTTGTGGTACATCGTGTTAAAAGTATAAATGTAGAACATGGAAACAGTAGGAATCGAGTAAATCTGGAATATAGACTGTTGAGGCAATAATCGGGCCATTGAAGTTGTGTATTTGCAAATGAACGCTTGGGTCGAGTTAATTCGGACTGACATGCTCCAAGATAAAGTTATTGAACTGCTCCATATTACTTTTTTTTGCGCTAAGAAGAACTAGCAATGCAACAAGATTGGATTTAGTAGTTCGTAAGTATTTGTTTCCTTTAGTTTACTGTAACTACTAGTATTACTTTAATGTTCCTACTTCATTAACTTAAGTGAGTTATAGCCCCCCCTCTCTATATATATATAAAAGAGGGGATGGAAGAGATGACTTGGCACCTCTCCTAGACTAAGATTACCATTTATTTTTTTCTCATTTATTTAACTTTTTTTCTCATTTCCCACTTATTTTCCCTTACAATTAAGTAGTACTCTTATCCTTTTGTACCGTTTCTAAACAAGTAACTGAAAATATTCTTTATGTTACAACTTTTCCAAGCCGTTTTGCTTTTGATAAAACAAATTTGTCCAAAATCATTTAATATTTTAGTCCTTCTTTCTTTCCATGCCTAATCCATGTTAATTAAAGATCAATGGCAACTCTTTACCTCCTGTATAGGTCAAAATTTATCTCAAGGAGATTTAACATGAAGCGGTATTACAAAAAGTAATATGGTCGATGTCGACTAGTAAACAGTGGGGGTCATGGCCGGGGAGTCAATGACGACCGAGTCAAGTATCAAGAGCAGTAGTAACGGCTAGTTTTTTGATAGGATCTTTAGGAGAATATTCCATTGAATATTCTCTGTGCTTGTACTTTTAGGGTTGACTGGGGGTATGTCCCATATAAATAGAAAAAGAGATTAGGAGAAAGGCATGTAATATTGATTTTGATAAGGACACTTTTGAGAAGAAGACTCTCTCTCTCTAAAAAAAGATACAAATATAACCTTTCCAATAAGATTCTTCCTTCCATTATTCCATACTTTTCCATCAGATCCGTGAATAGTTCTGATATTCTAGGATTTGTCTATCTCTCATCATTATCAGAAGGACGAATCATCCACCTCATGTAATATTGGGTGAATCTTCCTCCTTATTTATGTTAATGCCATTTATTACCGTTTATTGTTATTTATTGCTCGATATTCTTCCCATCATTAATCATCTCGAAACATTGAATGTACACAACATTTAATCCCTCAACAACACTGCCCGATTTAATTTGAGCTGACTATTTATAATTTGAGGAACTAATATTAACTCGGTTTAACCCCTTTTTATATAAGATTGATTAGTTTAATTAAAGATTTATACTTTTTGGTCAAATAATTTGCCGCCGTCTGTTGAGATTTCCTAGTTAAATTTTTAGTTTCTTCTTGATCTATAACTAGCACAGTTAAAAAGAAAACAACGGAAAGCAAAACCCGTATTCCCTTGTACACACGAGTGAAATAACATGTAATAGAGAAGAAAGAATGAAGGCAGTGGCCGATCTCACTACAAACCTCTTGAACACCATCAATGAGGTTTCTGAAACAGAAGGCGAAGCTATAACGCCTAATGCCTCTCCCAGGCGAGGCGGGTTGCCCCTCCCTCACGACAGTATCACGACATCCCGCGGTAATGGAGCTTCCACGTCCACAATCGAAGAGGCGCCACTAGCAGTGAAGAAACTGCTTGAGGCTTGGCTGACAAACACACTGACCAGCATCCTTGACAAGCCCGCCCAGGAGGCAGTTAGAGAAAATGCAAGGACTTGCGTTACACCAGCGACGATCGAGCAGCACGGCCCTCTCCCTCAAGTAACAGGTGTCACTCACAATGTCAATAATGCAGGTAACGACACTCTCACATCCATTCTGAGGAAGATGGAAGAAATGGAAAATAAAAATAAAATGCTTCGGGACCAAATGAGAGAGCACTAAGAAAGAGTCGACAAAATACCGGGCGCCCCAAAGCTCTTGCCAAAAAGAGATGCTGGTCGGTTCGTTGAGCTACCCTATAGTGATAAAGCTGCCCCGAATGCAATACCCAAAACCTTCAAGATGCCGCCTTATTTGAAAATATATGACGGCCCGACCGACCCCGAAGATCATGTGACTTACTATGTCTCTACGGTGAAGGGCAATGATCTCGCCAAAGAACAAATATCCTCCATCTTATTGAAAAAGTTCGGCGAGACCCTTACTGGAGGAGCATTAACTTGGTATTCACAACTGCCTGCGCGCTCCATCAAAACATTTGAGAAGATGGCCGACAAGTTTGTAACGGCTCATGCTGGGGCCAAAAAGGCGGATGCGAGAGTGAATGATATAATTGTCATCAAACAATCGCCCGGAGAGGGATTGAGGGACTTCCTCGCTCGTTTCAATAGAGTAAGGATGACCATACCAAATCTATCAGAAGGCATGGCTGTAGCGGCTTTCCAGAACGGGCTGAACAGGAACGGCTCAAGGGCAACCAGAAAATTATTAAGTTGGCTTATGAAATATCCTCCAACCACTTGGGATAAAATACATAACGCCTACTTTGCCGAGGTCCGTGCTGACGAAGACGACCTGAATGGGCCAACCCATCAGTTGATCTTGGTACAGGCCGGATCCAGGAAAGATCGAAGAAATAACTTCAGGAGGGATCTTGCAGCTGCACGACCCAACCGAGAAAGGCATCAGCCATATATCAGAAGCGCCATCATGCCCCCTCCCTCCACGAAGAGGGCCTATCTAGACCAAGGATAGGGACTCACCAGAATGAGAGAGGTATTCCCTCTTTATTATTCGCTCACAATTTCTGTATGTCACCTTCAGAAATAGTCTATGCATTGGAGAAGCTTGGACCAGAAGTGAAGTGGCCACAAAAGATGAGGTCATATCCAAGCACCAGAAAGTCAGATGCCCTCTATGAATTCCACCAAAAGCAAGGTCACAAAACTGAGGACTACATCGCCTTTAGACAGGAGGTCGTAAACATGCTTCCCCAAGGACACCTCAAAGAATTGCTGAGAGACCGGGGGAGGGCCAACTTTTCTCGAGGACGTGAAAAACACCAGGGACTGTCGAAACCACCCTCACCGACCCGCACCATTCAAATGATCATCGGATGCACGACGATGCTTCAATCAACAACGTAAAGTTCACCACGACCCACAAGCTCAAACGGTCGATCACTCATGAACGGTATGACGAACTCGAAGAAAGTATCATCTTCGATAAGCCATACACCAACGATTTGGTTCCATTACTATGATGCCCTTGTTATTACTTTACGAGTATTATATACGGATGTATGATACATGATGGTGGACGATGGGAACGGAGCTCGCATTATCCACCCTCGAGTACTTGCTCAAATGAAACTCGAGGATAAGATAGTGTCGTGATGCATCATGCTAACAAGTTTTAACAATGCAGTTGAACGAACGTCTGGAGAAATCACACTCCCCGTCCTGGCCGGAGACGTCACTCTGGAAACCACATTCCACATCATGAACAAGGATAGGGCGTAAAACACCATAATAGGTCGACCCTGGATAAACTTCATGAAAGCCATCCCCTCAAGCTTGTACCAAGTCATCAAATTTCCAACCCCGTGGGGAATATTCAGCATACGAGGAGAACAATGCACATCTCGAGAGTGCTACGCATCGCCCTAGATTGTACAGCTACCCAACAAATGAAGGACAAAGCAAAAGAGGCATATTAATTAACAGGGTCGAGGTCGAGCTATGATGTAAGAGAGGACGTCATCAGAGACCCCGAAACAGTGGAGGCCGTGGGATCAACCATAGAAGACCTCGACCCATCCAACTTGATGATAACGACCACAGCAAGAAAGCCTACATAGGCTGCAAGCTTCAAGAACTAGGTAAATTCCGTCAATTTTTAACTACTAATGCGGACTTGTTTGCTTTTTCCCATGCAAACATGCCCGGCGTCCCGAAGGATATCACCACACACAAGTTGAACATTGACCCGTTCCACCCCAGTAAGGTAGTTTAAGTCGAAAAATTACTGGAAAATGGTTCCATTAGAGAATCAAAATACCCCTATTGGTCGCCAATATGGCCATGGTGAAAAAGAAGAACGGAAAGTGGTGGATGTGCGTGGACTTTACAGATTTAAACAAAGTGTGCCCCAAAGATTCATTCCCACTACCTCATATCGACCAACTCATTGACGCGAGATCGAGCATGAACTGCTGAGCTTCTTAGATACCTACTCGGGCTACAATTAGATCCTCATGGAAGAGGAGGACCATGAGAAGACTACCTTCATCACCCACCAAGGAACGTACAGCTACAGAGTTATGCCCTTCGGACTGAAAAATGCGGGGGCGACATACCAAAGGTTGGTGACCAAAATGTTCAAAGATCAACTCAGCAAGACCATGGAAGTCTACATAGTCGATATGTTGGTCAAGTCCAAAAGGGAAGAAGATCACATCGACCACCTGTAAGAAGCATTTGACATACTCAGACGGTACGGTATGAAGCTAAATCCTAAAAAGTGTGCGTTCGGCGTGACCCTAAGGAAATTCTTGGGCTTCCTAGTATCACAACAATGTATAGAGGTCAACCCCAATCAAATTAAAGCCATAGAAGAAATACTAGAACACTTAACTAGCAAAAAACAGGTCCAAAGGCTGACTGGCCGTGTCGCCGCCAGTGGACTTCGGAGTGTGTCCAAGCCCTAAAGGAGTTAAAGGCTTACCTGTCATCGCCGCCCTTGCTTTCTAAAGCAGAACCTTGGGAACGACTCCTCGTCTACCTTGCTGTATCTAATATAGCAGTGAGTGAAGTCCTAGTCCGAGAAGATAAAGGGACACAATCTCCTATCTATTACATTAGCAAAACCTTAGTCGACGCCGAGACGAGGTACCCCCACCTCAAAAAATTGGTCTTCGCTTTGGTCGCAGCTTCATGAAAGCTTAGACCCTACTTTCAGTGCCACCCTATCTCGGTAGTCACAACTTTCCCCTTGAGAAGCATTTTGCACAAGCTCGAGCTATCTGACAGGTTAGCCAAGTGGGCCATAGAATTAAGTGAGCATGATATCACATATCAGCCACCAACGACGATAAAGTCACAAGTCCTTGCCGACTTCGTCGCCAACTTCAGTGCAAACATAATGCCCGAAGTCAAAAAAAAAAAAAAACGGAAAAGCTTCTCCACAAACACAAGATCTATGGATTTTGTACACCGACTGCGCTTCTAATGCGTCGGGGTCCAGACTGGGACTTGTGCTCGAAGTTCCGACAGGCGAAGTGATTTGCTAGTCCATAAGGTGCCCGAATATGACTAATAACAAGGCTGAGTAAGAGGCCATGATTGCAGAATTAAGGCTAGCACTCAAGTACGGGGTGAGACGGGTCATCGTATGCTGCAACTCTCAACTCGTCGTCAACCAAGTCACAGAGACTTTCCAGATCAAAGAACAAAGGTTGCAAAAATACCAGGCCGAGATCTGCAAACTACTGCCCAAGTTTGACGAATGCTACAAAAGCATAACCAGAGAAGGAAACGTGGTCATCCTCCTCCACTCATTGATAGATCACATCGAGGTAAGGACTATAAATCTTAAATGGAACTGGCGCAACCGTATTGTTACATACTTGCAGGACTACGTTCTTCCAGATGATAAAAAGGAAACGAAGAAGCTCCGAATGCAAGCGTCCAGGTACAACATCATTCACAACCTGTACAAGAGGACGTATGGCGGCCCCCTAGCGAAATGCTTAGGCTCGAATCAAACGCGGCTCGTCCTAGAAGAAGTCCACGAAGGCCACTACGGGGCTCATTCCGGCAATCGAGCACTGGTCAAATGTCTCATACGGGCAGGTTGCTACTGGCCTACTATGAAAAAAAGGCCTTAGACTTCGTGAAAAAATGCGAGCAATGCCAAAAATACGCCGCAATGATCCATCAAGCAGGTGAGCACCACCACTCGGTCACTTCCCCGTGGCCTTTCATCAAGTGGGGAATGGATATCGTCGGCCCCCTTCCTGCGGGGCGAGGTAAAGTAAGATTTGTTTTGGTTTTAACTGACTATTTTTCTAAACGGGTAGAAGCAGGAGCATTCACCTATTTTCGCGAACAGGAAGTGATCACCTTCATATAGAAAAACACTGTGTGCCGCTTCAGACTCCCCAACGAGATCAGTTGCGACAACGGACCCCAATTTACTGGAAAAAAGGTCGTTGAATTTTTTTGAGAAGTGGCATATCAAAAGAATACTCTCCATGCCGTACCACCCCGCGGGCAACGGGCAAGAGGAATCCTCCTATAAATCAATATTGAACATCATGAAGAAAAGCTTGAGGACGCCAAGGGACAATGGCCGGAGCTATTACCAGAAGTACTTTGGGCCTACCACACAACGCCAAAGACGAGCACAGGAGAGACGCCCTACTCATTAGTCTATGGGATCGATGCAGTAATACCAGTCGAAGTAGGAGAGCCCAGATCGGACCAAGGAACGACGAAAGTAGAAGGCAAGAGCTCGACGAATCCAAGGAACAGAGAGATATGGCCTACATAAGGATGGTCGCCCAAAAGCAACAGGCAAAACGCTATTATAACAAAAAGGCAAAAGTCAGACCACTCAAAATCGGGGACTACGTGCACAAAGCCAAAACACAAGCAAGCAACGACTCGTGGGAAGGCAAACTAGGAACAAATTAGGATGGCCCATACAAAGTCACGACAACGGCAAATAAAGGGTATTTCCAACTAGAAACAACGGAAGGGAAACTACTACCAAACAACTGGAACATCGCCCACCTCAAGTACTTCAACTTTTAAGAAAAAGTGTTCTCCGAGTCGTACTCTTTTCCCTCACTTGAGTTTTGTCCCAATTGGGTTTTCACAAGAAGGTTTTTAACGCGGCGACAAGAGGGACACTCCAAGTTGAAATGCGAACGGAAGACATTGGACGATCAGTTCATTGCCCAACCTCTCAACATTTCTCCAAGTCGCCCAATGAAGGGACTAGATAGACAGATAGACTGGGACTGGTAGGCTAGCCCAGAAAATATGTAAATTTCTCCAAGTATATGACCAAAACGCACATGCATGAAGTTCGCCCATACTTTCACCAGAGCAACATTTCCTCAATACCTAATCGGTCCTCGACCATAACAAAACAAAACTGACATTCGACCTCGTTCGAATTAACTAAGTGACATTCGACCTCGCTCGAATTAACTCACATTCGACCTTGTTCAAATTAACACCTACCGACCCCCGGCCATGACCAAACCAAATTTGTACGATTGAAGCGACCGAACGACGAAATAAAAGAAAGAAGCGTACAAGCCCGAACAAAAATAAAAGAATCAACTACCGGACAGCGAAAACGACATTTCATACTTCAAACATATTTCTTACAAAGGCTAAAGCAGACACCAACAAAAGTATGTACAAAAGTTACAAGCAAAAGAAAGAAAAACAACTACTCGCTACCTAACCAAGCAGCGCCATCTCTACCCATATCTTTACCATCGCCGTCGCCGTCGAGATATTCATCCTTGTACCAGGCGTCATGCTCAATCCCTTCGACGTATTCCTCATCATCATCGGTCTGTGGTGTTGCGGGTCGTAACCACAAACGATTCGAGCTGTACGCGCCTTGGCGCGAGCATCCTCAGAGTCGGCCTCCGGAAGTTTGCTCGCTGTCATCAAATCTCTGAATATATCCAATTTGGCCTCGGCGTGAATCCACTTCTCATAAAAATCCCGCAG